CCCCAAAACCCCAAACCCCCAAAACCCCAAAACCCCAAAACCCCTGTTACGTAGTTTTTCATTGAAAATATTCCTATTCTGTTAGTTCACCTGACTCGTATATGTCGTTTTTATTATTTTTTATTGGAATATCCCATACCAAATGAGGGGTGATTTTGTTATTTTCTTCAACTTGTTCCACAAATTTAGAATAAATACTGAGCTCTTCTTTGGTATACTGATTCATTTCTTTTAAATCTCTGATGACTTTATATTGATTAAACAACGAATTTCTAAGCTTCACAAGATCTTTTACTATTTTCCTAATATTCCCATACGCCTTCACAGCTGGGCTCTTTTTGTCAGATATAATCTGAGCAACCTGCGTCTCTAGCACAGTCTCTATAAATCTTGACTTCATGTCAAATTTTTCCTTTGAAATATACTTCTCTCTTCTCTTCTTAGATTTACTCTTCCTTACAATTTCAGATCTTTTTACTTCTTTGCTGGCTGCAATAAAGCACTTTGTATGAATACTAACAATATTTTCTAGTATATCGTTGAACTTTTCTTTAAGATATTCCACCCTATTCTCAGAGCAATCTGAGGATTGAGTTTTCATCTGATGTATAGTAGAATACCTGACCTCTTCAGGATTCTCGATCAACTTCTTCATGATATGATTGTTCATAAAATCCTCATACTCATGAAGTTTATGCTCATATTTCTTCCCAGTCTGGACTGGCGGCTCTCCAGAACCTGCAGTTTCAAATTGTTTCAATGATTCCTTCAGCTGTTTATTCTCCCTCTTCAACCTCTCCACCTGCTGTTCAAGCCCCTTACTCTTCTCCTCCAGCCTGACTAAATAATTCTTCTTCCTCCTTCTAAACTCCCTTGATCTCTCCATTGTAGTCTTAGCTTTCTCCTTCTTGTCACCTCCTTCGTCACTGCCAGGCTGCATAAGTAATAATATTTCAATTATTTTGTGAAAGATTGGGGTTTTGGGGTTTTGGGGTTTTGGGG